TATACCAGCAATACTTCACTAAGATCCTGAATAACTTCTACTAGCCTGGGGTAAAAGGACTCGTTGTTACAGGTTTTGTGAAATATATCATAGAACCATATAAAAAAAAATCCCAAAGGCTCCACTGAAAATAATGGTAGTGACTGATATACTTTTCAAGTGATTGTTGAAATTGTAGGTCCTTTACACCCAACATCTGAAGAGGACCATAAGTATTTAGTAACTCTTCCGAACTATGCAACCAGATATCCTAATGCCTCACCCTTGCAAAATATAAGTGCAGTATGTGTAGCAGAAGCATGCCCTGATCAATATATATAGCTATCTAGGTGTACCAGAACAGGCTCTTAGTAACACAGGAATGCAGTTTACTTCTCAATGTACGAAAGAAGTATCAAAGCTATTATACACCAGTCCACTACAACCTCATGTGGTATGCAAGCATATCATGATCTCTTACCTTCTACAGTAACATTGAATTTTTCTAAATTATTGATTACTAGCTGTAGTACCTGTCCCCTAGGCAGAAGTTATGTAAATTAATGAAAGGTTATCTTAGGACATGAAAAGTTGCTTCCCTTATATACAATTATAAAAACTGCAAAACATAAAATGTTAAACTGCAAGTTTTCATGTATGTCCATATGGACCCAACAAACCTTCATGCCAAATTTAGTGAAGGTCCATGAACAGGGGGTGAAGTAGTGGCAAAAAATGCAAAAACACCCATAAAAATTTCATAATGCAAAACTGAAAATTTGTTTGTATCTACTCATGGACCCAAAGAACCTCCATACCAAATTTGGTGAAGATCCATCCACAGAGAGCAAAGTAGTGGTAAAAACTGCAAAAATGATATTTCAGTATTGTATATTGAGCCTGAGTTAAGTGAGCTGAAACTGAAATATTATTTTCTGGTCAATTATGACACCATCTGAAACTGATAGCTAACTAATGTTGTCTGGGAACAGAGACCACAAGTTGATGCTGTCCACTGAATAAAAAAACCAACTTAATGTTCAGAATCCAGGCATACTTTCTTTATTCAGTTTCCTTCCTAGATCATCTATAGTAAAGACCTGTTTTATACTACAGGACACACATTTGGTACTGCAGTCTTCAGTCTCAAGTGAAAGAAAGGGGCAAGGACTAAACACTATCATCTGTGGCTATAAGTGCTCCCTGTTATTTCAATAAATATTTTGCTTATCTGTTTAAAACTTGATTGTCCTGTTTATCCACACACTAAGAAAAACACTCAGTCTAAGTATCTCAGTCATAAAAATTATCACAAATTTCTTAAAACAAACTCTGCAGTTATTGCAGAAAATTCTACTTATCGAAAAATCAGTTTTTAACTGAAAATACTATACCCATATCACCCTATGTCTTGTTGAAACTGACAACAGCTACCTATATGTGTTTTAAGTAAGAGATGAAATGGACTAAACTTCAGAAGTCCCATAAAAAATATAAACACCAAAGCTAGAATTTTCAAACCAGTGACTTTGTGCTTGTATTACTCCCCACTGACAATAACAAGCTGCTTAAGCAGTGAAAAGGGGCTTACAAAGTGAACAGTGTTGCTGGTATAGGGTCAAGGGTAAATGTGCAGTAATGTGAAGACCTACCATTCTAACTTTCTGAAGCAGTACACATACATTCAACATGATTGTCACCTACAGATCAATGAAGGTAGCAAGCTGCCAGTAAAAGAAGAAAATGCCTGGGGTCCACTTTTATAAGTTGTATCTGTTTCCATAAAGGACTGATGCTATATTGAATGATGGAGTTGATGATAAAGACTTCTTGGAACTTGGCACCTGTAATTTGAAGGTGACAAATACAGACATGAAATTGTTGAAAAAGTTGACTGATGCCCAAATAAATGAGTTGAATTATCTACTCAGTCAGTATCAACAGATTTTTACTTATCACCTTGTACAACCAACTTATCCAAAGCACAGTCAGATCAGTAATAATAAACACCTTTAGACTCCAAATTCTACCCTATGCCACACATAGAAAATCCCTAAAACAAGACATTTAACCCTTTACTTCGACCTTAATTTCAAACACCTTTCTGTGCAGATCATGAGGTTTTACTGAGTTACTTTCAATATTTAATTAAACAACTTTACAATAAATTTATTATAATGAAATTAGCATTATCATCTACATTATAATTCGATGTTTTATATAAGTTTGAATTCTTATATTTCAAAACAAAACATTAAATGAAAATACTTAAACTTCAGTTTTGTTATGATGTGACATATGATCAATCACAGATCTTAACATTTTGTCTCTATTACTTAAATAATAGCTCAAGTACACTGTACATGTATGTCTAGATTAAATCTACTGATACAGCAATATCTATGTGTTCTTAGTTCAAATTCTGTCAGGTCAACTGGAGATCAGAAAACACCTGATAGTAGCCATACCCTCCTTTTTTATTTGAACATGTTATTTTAAGCAACATGTACTTAGTTGATTGACATCTTTATAACCAATAAAAAGAGCTTATTTTAAACTACAATCTACCAATTTTTATTTTAAAACTGGTGTACAATATTCATTACCAAATATGTCAAACAGCCAAAGCATTGTTTGTGATTTTGTCCTCACTAGCACTTAGCATTGTCTATCACCTAGATACATATTTTTTTATTTAATTGAATAATGCATCTAAGAACACAGAATAATAACGTGCAAAAAGCAGACAATATCCCATAACTATTAGAATTTTCCTGGCATTCTAATTATGCAATAAGGGCCGAAAAAACTTCAATTACAGAAAACCATGTAATATGATACATAATCTGATAGATGAAAATCTTAGCTTTCTATAGCATTGAAGGTCAGAGAGAACTGTTGGCAATTTCTGAAAGCGAGAATGTGACAAGTGAGAATAGCAAGAGGGGTCTAGTTGTCTATTTCATGGCTCTGTAAGCAAATAAGATTGAAGGCTTTGAAAATTATGCTTTGCCTGAGAAATGTGATATTATAATAAGTAATTTACATTAAATTTCATACTTCTTGGAGGGGTGGTAAAATAATTATAGAAGAGGGGATGCCATGAGAGCAAATGTCACAATTCTCACATTAGGGGGAAATTAAAGATTTTTTCAATGTTGTCTTATAAATGTAAGAACTAAAACATTTATACTATTAAAATATGGATTATTAGCTATGTTTTATGCTATATTTATTGGTATACCATGAAAATTAAATACAATTTTGAATTTTCTGCACATAACATGAAGTGTTCCCAAGTTACATTCAAAACTTATTTAAACCACTTTACTATCAATGTATTTTAATTAATTTAGCATTATCAAGTATGTTATAATTCAAAGTTTTTTATTATCTAAGTTTTTATTCCTTATTTAAAAAAAAAACCTCTAAAACAATAATCAAATATTCAGTTTTGTTATCACGTGCAGCACGTGTGGTTAAAAATAGCTTGTGCTGCTTCTATTTCAGTTGTACACTGTTTGAAGTGTACTGGTATTGTCTATACAAAAATATATGTGTAAAGGCTATTAATAAATGAGTGTCATCAAAGAAACAAATTCACCACTTTTCCAGTGAAGACAAAAAGAGAATGATTCCAACCATGTGTGAATTGATTACATGAAGCTAAACAAGGTAAAAATATTTAATCAAGAGCCAATGGTCATGGTTGGAAAAAAATTGTTTCAGAACTTGGCACAGACAAGCTTTTTACAAAGTCAGAACTTAGTAAGGGCAATTGGAATATTCTAGTAGCTGAAAAGAATGTCCCAAAGACTGCTTTTGTGATACCAGATAGGACACACGAGCTCCTTAAGATGCTATTTGGTAAATGATGAATGTTAGTGTTATTCTCAAGAAAGCAATGTAAAAGTTGTTGGATGGTGCAGACAACTACTTTGTGATATTCTGGTGCACACAAGCATTTGAGAAGAGCAGTACTCAGTCATTTTACAAAATGGACAGATGGAACATTACAGCAAGGTCTACAAAATGTGTGGTTGGAACTGACAATGTGGACTTCATAAGCCATTAAATAAGCAAAGGAAAGTTGGCTTGCATAAGGAAAATATAGCAAAAGTAAGAGAAGCACCATGACCCAGAACTAAGGAGGTTGGGTCATTTATTGGATTAAATGAATATTATGTTGTTCAAGACATATAGTAATTTATATCTGAGGAAGTAATATAATAAGTTCATAATTTCCCTGCCTCTTTTGTTTATGTTATTCTGCATTTCATAGAAATGTAATATGCCTGTGAAAGTTGTTCAAACCATGCTTTCAGCATAATTTGGTTAGATTTTATATTATACTTTGTCATAAAGTTTAACTAAATTCTATAAAAATATATATTGTCAGAATGCAGTGGATGTTAATATGTTCTGAGTATTTACATACAATCTTGATGTTGATCTGTTACAATGACGATAAAAAACAGATCTATTAAACGATATAAAAAAGGCAGTTTTATAAAGGAAGAAACAATAAAGTAGAAGTTAAATGGGTTAGCGATATTAATACTTGAGAGTGAACATAAATGTATGTTAATGGGAATATATTAAAACACAGTTGAGTTAGATATACATCTGTGGACTGTTATTAATAACCAATAATCGAACCAGTGTTTGACATTATGCTATTTATGAAATTATAATCAGTGACTAAAACATAATAAACAAATCATGGAATAATTATCCATGTTAGTTAGATATCAACAGAACAAACTTTTTAAGAAAAATAACTGCTATCTATGTGTGAAAGGAGTAGTAAAAGTATTTATGTGGAAATTAGAGCAAATACAAAACTCTGAAACATTTAAAAGAGTTGTCCATAGTCTTAACTTAAAAAGAAGCAACTTATAAATATATTTCACATATAGATACATACATGTAATATAAATACCAGGTTAACAGTTTATACAATGGATTCAAGGCTTAGAAAAAAAAAAGAATCAAATACATTAAAATGTGTATTTCCTTACCTACAGAGAGTGATGACGTAATAATACAAAACCAAAAAATTTCTCTTCTCATATTCTGAAAATATAGGTATTTAAAACATTAGTATGTACATTTTAAGTGCCTTTCACAATGTAGTAAGAATGACAGAAAATCCAGTTTGACTTAACTGCCAAACAGTTATCAGTCCTAGTGGGAGAAGAGTTCTTTGATCATGAATGTCATAGTGTGGTTTTTACATAATTATTATCCCCTATTAGAATAATAGATGACTAAACACACATAAAAAATGCACACATATAGGAAAAAGTTTAAAACTTTAAACTAGGTTGAAAATCTAAACTTGTTTTCACTGGAGTTAATAATTATAAACTTGAAATTAAATTCCATAAAACAAAATATAAAGAAGCAAATAGTGTTATAGCTCATTTGTTTTAGTTATATATCCTTTAACTCTTTCAGCATGGACTTGGTCCCTAGGACCAACCTCGTAACAATTTTGTGCTTGTTATACTTCTCATGCTATAACTTTTAAATTATTAATGAAATTTGGCAGATTATCAGTAAACATTACAATTCTTTCATATGCAAAATATATATTTTTTTATTAAGTCTTAATGTTTGTTAAGCAATGTGTTTCTCATGCCTGTTTTTTCTTTTTGCATGTTGCCTATCAAACATGCAAAGATCTTAAGATTAAAAATACTTTTTGGATTGGAAAATTTTCACATGCAAAATCTTTATAATGTCCATATAGTTATCAAACATTTCTTAAGAAAAAAAACTTTATATTTTATCTGTTCTTTTCACTAATGAATCTCTGTACAGGTTCGGTAGATTTGACTGATCCTGTAACCACCATAAAAATTAGGAAATAAATATAAATTCTGCCTCATTCATTCTAGAAGACAACAAATCATAACACAAAAACATAGGTATTTAGACTAAATAGCTTAAGTCTCATAACATTATACATTCATATATATATTTATTATTTTTTTATGTTGATCTTTCAGCCATACAAAAGTTACAATGATGCAGTACATGTGCTCTCATGTTACCATATCCAGTAGTATAAAACTGACCTTTAGTATCTACAAACTGTGTTTAGTAGAATATTTCTTTGTAAAAAACAGTCACATTTCCATTATTATACATTATATATGTATATAGATTATTACTATTTAGAAATAAGTTATTTAACTTATTTTTCTTAAAACATTGAACAGTAAATTAAGAATGTATAATACTAAAATTTGAATTATAATCTACAGTTTGATACCAAACTTACTAATATAAATTCATGAAGTAGTAGTTAAATAAAATTCTGAATATGAGTCAACAAACACAATGACATGACCTTTGACCAGTCTGGATACATATTATTTTTCTAGATTACTCATATATCATGCACAGGCTTATGCTGGAATCTTAAAATCATCTTTTGCCTGTGCATAATTAGAAATCCTTTTAGTGTTAAAGAAGTAATTCTTATGTACTTTCATGGATACTCAATATCCTACTATAGTCCAATTCATATAAACATTTACTGTTTCATAGATTATTGTTGCTTATTATTACAAACACCAAATGTAGAATATACATATCATACGTACAGCAAATTCTTAAGCGTAAGACACTGTGCAAACACAATCATATGTACTCATGTTAACATAAAACTGAGTTACCTTTAAACATAATACAAAAAGATTCCTAATTCTAGTAATGTACGATGTATTCATGGTAGTGTTTGGGAATCTTTACACTACAAAAGATTTCTGAGCAATTTTTGTCTAGCAAGATGATTCCTTTAGTTAACCAGCAATCTAAACTTTTATGCCAACCAAAATATATTGTTACGTCTCCGTTTGTTAATTAATTTTCTGTAAATTCGTTCCGACAAAACTTTAGCGACACAAGTCCTTTCTTAAATAAATCTGGTTTATTCTTTCCGAGTACAACTTTACGATATACTTAATTTCAACAGTCGCGCTATAATTCTCAACGAACGTCTCACGTGCTCGACTTCAACAATACTCAGTTCAATTACACACTCTCTGACTGCAGTTCAATTACTCATTACCTCCCCGTCGCTTCGTGGCCGGTCTTATATATACCAGACTACCCCCAATCTAGTAGTCTCCCGATAATTCACGAAGGTTCGAGAAGGACGTGGCGGGATACTAGTCACGTGACCTCGCTGACGCAACAATATCATTTCAAGCACTGCCAGTTATTATGTATCTTGATTTTAAGAAAAGTGTTCTAAGGTGAAGCATTAGAGATTAATTAAAATGGCAAGTACACTTTCCCATCTCTTCCATTTATGAAAATATCTTGATAACAATGAGAAAAACTCACAGAAACATCTCTCTCCTGGTGATACTATTTTTGAAATCCAGTAATAAATAAGTGGTAAAATTTCATCTTTTTCTGTTTTTAGCAGCAACTGGCCTTACTATAACCATGATTACATTAATTTAACACTATCCAAGTTTCTAACTAGTTTTAGGTAGTATTGTATCAAAGCTATGACATATGGAAGTCTTATTTCTGGAAAACAAAGTGTTAGTGCAAATTTTAAAATGGATATAACACATTCATATACAAATTTTTTGGTGACTTTAAACTGATTTTGAAGTAAGGGGTTCAGTTTTCCATATTTCATATAATACCACACTATCCATAATTAGCAAGTACTATTGGGCTCATAAATCAATTATATTTATTTAATCGATTATTCTCATGAGATGGGAAAAGAAAACAAAAAGAAAAACGTAACAATAATAATCAGGTTTCAATACCAAAGTGGACAGAGCACAGATAGCTTATTGTGTAGTTTTGTGTTTAACAATAAACATAACAGTAATATTTTGAATATTTAGATAATTATACTAATCAAAAATAGTAATAATCTTAAACCCTAATTTTGATTAGTTGATTATGTACATGAATGATGACAACAATCAATTAAGCTGAACAAAACTGAATTAATAAAAAATAATAAAGAAAAATCATAATGGTAATATTCCGATTACTGGATAGTTTGAATAATTGAAAACAGCAATACTCTGAAGTACTATTTGATTATTCTTGTGATATCAGTTGATCTAATTGTAATTTTGATTATTTGACATGAAATTAATCAATGTTCAGAGGCAACTAATTATATCTAGTTAATTGCCCAGCTCTAACTTTCAGCATTTATAAGCTAGTTAACATAAACTCATTAACAGTAAAGTCAGTTATTACTTTTTACAAAAAATAATATTTCATTTTAACTTACAATTTTACCATTTACTTATTAATGTGTTTGAAAAATAGTTGCAACATAAAAAGCTCAGTCTTTTTTTTTCTGTTTGATTTCCCAGGTTATGAAATATCTTAATAACTGTATGAGATTTTTCATAAATACAGCAACTGTCACTTTTATAACTTATATTTTAAGGGAAAGTAGAGAAATCTGGTTTGCTGATAGAAAAAGTACAAAAATAATTGAATTATATAAGGACATTTTAAGTTAAAAAATACATTAACTACTTTTACAACAATATTTATAAAATAATGCTGATAATACTAAGATAATAGGAAATAATAAGAACAAAAAATAAAAATTAATACTGACGAGCATCATGTGATGCTGTTGAGATAAGTAATTTAGGATATATACTTCTTCTGCAGTGTCCTTAGTTTTATGTAAATAATCTGAAAATTGTGTGGAAATATTTCTAATTACATAACAGAGTCTAAGTGACTTGAAATACTCTTATTAAATAAAGATACAGAAAATGTATAATAATGTACATCAGTGATCACAGACATTTGTGGGCATGCACACTTGTCAATTACCACAAACATGCTAAAAATGATGTTCCTCATATGCAATAGAATTGTTTCTATATAAACCCAACAGCTCGTGCTCACACATTTTTACAACAAAAAAAAATTATAAAGAGTGAGGATGAAGAAACATAATGCATTAAAGATACACCTAACGTCTGTCACACTTAAATCCAGCTGTGCAACTCACTGTAAAATATATTTTCATTAAAACAAACAAAATGTTTTGTAATGGTTAATGCTAATTATGTAATAAAACTCATTATGAGGAGGACAGCATAAATACAAACTTGAAAATAATAGATAAGAGACAAAGATTTGTAAATATAGGTCTAAAAATGTTATTCAACAAAGTTACATTATGGCTATTTATAAATTTGTGGCATATACATAGATTCTCGAGCAGCACCAGAACATAATAATATTGTAAACATTCCCTTGTTCTGGTCCCTTTGTACATATGTATACATAAGCTGCTTCAGTCAGTGGCCAAAGCTATGTATTATAAATAACTAACCAGATTACCCATTCTCACAAAGGGAACATTTAACTTCACCACCTGAATTATATATTTAATTACATACTGATATGTGATTCTGTCAGCTTGTTGGTTATCCAATCCCTCAAACTTTGATGTATGGGTATACAGCAAGAAACCAGTTTTTATACTTCAGTTACTTTACAGGTTGAGCATTTATCATTTCTCACTCAGGCATTGGTCATAAGCATGCCTAGCCAGGCCCAACCTAAGTTGATGACAATACAAGAACAGTATAAAGGCAATGTAACAGAAGGATATTCAGCCCATTGAAGTATCAACTGATCTAAGTCATACTGTAATACTTAAACATCCTATAAGCAAGTACAATTAGATAAATGTCATCAGCAAACTTTACTAATTTAATAATTATGCCCCAATCAATACCATTTATGAATATACAAGAAAACAAAGGCCCAAGCATTGACCTAACCCATGAACACTGAAGTAAGAAGGTCCAGTTTGACTGGAGTTCATTAATCATAACTTTCTGCTGTCTCTCATCCATTCACACTACAATCCAATTAACTAGTTTTCCCAACTGCAGCTGATGTGATTTTCTCAGCTAATCTTCTGAGTGGCACCTTATCAAATAGTTTTTGAAATCTAAGTACATCAAGTCCACATCCATTTCACTGTCTATAAAAAATATAACATCCACAAAAACAAAGTCAACATACTGGCAAGACAAAATTTCCCT